GTGACTTAGATTCTTTACAGGGAGATATTTACATCTCATAAATGTTCTTATTTCCCTTTTTACTAGAAATAGTTTGGCAAAAGATATCACTGGGTTTTAGCATCCTCTAGTCCATGGCTTCAGAGGTGTAACACCTGCCAGTGTACAAACAACCTACCTGGCATCCTCTGGGTTTCTCAGCTGTTCACAATTACTCTGATTTTTTTTTAAAGATTTTATTTATTTACTCATGAGAGACACAGGCAGAGGGAGAAGCAGGCTCCGTGCAGGGAGCCCGACGTGGGACTCGATCCCGGGTCTCCAGGATCAGGCCCTGGGCTGAAGGCGGCGCTAAACCGCTGAGCTACCCAGGCTACCCGTTGAGCCACCCAGGCTACCCTACTCTGATGTTTTGACGTCATTTGAAACACAGCACTTGTTTCTGGGTTTTATTTTACCCATCCTGCCCTAGAATATTAAAACCCAAATCCTAGCTGCTTTCTCTCTTATTTTGCCATTGGGAGTATTAAGAAATTAATTTTTAAAAAAGATTTATTCGTTTATTTGAGAGGGGAGGGGCAAACGGAGAGGAAGAGAGAGTCTTTTTTTTTTTTTTTTTTTTTTTTTTTTTTTTTTTTAGGAAGAGAGAGTCTTAAGCACACTTCCTTCTGAGCATGGAGCCCCACGTGGAGCTCAAGTCTCACGACCCTGAGATCACAGCCACTGAGCCACCCAGCTGCCCCTCCTTTCAGTCTTTTTATAAGCATCTTTTGTTTAAACATTGTCTACATTAAAATTTTAGTCTTACCGTCTTTCCATTTATTATATTGTAAGCATTTCCCCATGCCACTGTCTAGTCTTTGGGGGTCCCCATCTTTTACAATTGTATGAGGTTCCATCAAGTGAGCGTATTATGCTTGACTGAACTGGCTCCTGTTGCTTGATATTCAGGCTTCTTTCTATAGTGTTATGCATGGTTTGAAGAGTATGTTGATGCAGTACAGCTGGTGAGAGCTTGGAGCCTTCCCTCGCCAGTGCTGGCTGGCTAGGTGCCACACCTTTTGGTTTGGTCAGAAGCTCTCCTGGCCAAAGTGTGTGAAGAACATGTGAATTTTCTAAGTTTATTTTTCACTTTATTAACTACTAGATCTATGAGGCAGCACAATACTCATGTCTAAAATGTAGGGACAATTTTTTGCTTATGTTTAAGTAAAACCAGATGGACTTTTCTATTTTTTTTTTCTTTCAAAAAGGCAAGGAATTTGTTCCTCTGGAAGAGTGGTTGGGACAACTTGGAAAAAATAAGCATTGTCTGTAAAGGTCAGGGCTGGGGTCAGGGGAATGAAGACAAAAATGGACCTAGAGTTTGATAATTCCTTCCATTTTCTTTCCTAAAGCTGTGTTTTTAACACTGGATGACCCATCAGAACCACACAAGGAAGCTTTTATAAAGACATTGGTCCCTAAGCCCTATCCCCACAGATTCTGATCTAACTAACCTATATTGGGGTCCAGGCACATGAAGCTAGATTCAGGACCCACTGTCCTAAAGGCAATGGGCAAATGACACGGAAAAATATTCAGCCATACTAGCCATCAGAGAAATTTAAAATAAAATGACAAATATTTATAATTATAAGTGAGCATTAAAAAAATCATAGAATATGTTGCTCAAAAGAAGTCAGACACAAATATTACATGCAATAATATTCCATTTATATAAAATTCTAGAAGAGACAGAGATCAGAAGAGTGGATGTCTGGGAGGAAGTGGGGGACACATCTCTGCACCTGCAGGAGATGCAGAGTGACTGCGAAAAGTTCAGATGGAACCTTAAGGGATAATGGAAATGTTCTGGATCTTGAATACAGTAGCAATTGTGTAGGTGTATACATTTGCCAAGTATAAGGCTGTACATACACAATCTGTGCATTTATTATAGGTCAATTATACCTCCACTAAAACAAAGAATATTGGGTAAAATTTCTTCAGAGCCCTCCCCGCAATAGCAGCACCCAGTGCTAATGAGGATGTGGTGTAATTGCTACTTTTATATAATGATAGCAGAACATTTTGGTGGGGTGCTTCTGAATGTTTGCCATAACATTTTAAGAACCAGAGTTCCAGATTTTTGACCAGTAATTCCACTCCTGGAAATTTATTCTATAAAAATAATGTTTTAAACAAAAAGTATGTGTGTGTGTGTATATATACATATACCAAAATACCTTTTTTCTGTGTTATTCTGAGTAAAAATCTCATTCATAAGACCAGTGAGTAATTTGTAACTCAATTAGGACTGCGTTGTGAGGGTTGATTCCAGCAGGCCTAGAACTGACCTGAGCTGTTTTGCTAAAGTTCTTCCTTGGCACTGACTATTGGTCAAGTAATGAAATTTGCTGATTAAAGCAGCATTGCTTTGTAATCCCAGGGCCGAGGAATCTGATGGCAGCTTTCACCAGCTTGTCAGCACTGTTTACTGATAACAGTGAGACCAATGATTTGTACTTGGTCTCAGTAAGATCTCAAGAAGACTCTGCTGTTGAGGCTGGTTACGTAGCAGAAATATGCTCACATGACCAGCCAAATATATATATATATATATATATATATATATATATATATACATATATGTATATATACAAAATATATATACATATATATGTGTGTGTGTGTGTGTGTGTGTATGTATAAAGAAAAATCTCAGCTGAGACTCCATCTGGGGGGTCCCTGGTTTTGAGGTATTCAGTGCACACACTGGTAGTTCCTGACCCAAGAGAGGAGGTGCATCCCAGCATGGCCCTTACACATCTGGATCACCTCTGGGGATCCTGGCTGGACCACTCAGGACTGTCTGCTGTGAGACTGCCATGGAAGGCAATTCTGTTGTGCTACTGTATCCTCTCCTGCAACAAGTTGGACATTTGGAAGCACTGTCATTGGATCCTGTTAGTCTTCTTTAGCAATCAGATCCTGTTTAACTGCAACTATGTGTGCAAGGGTACATCAACTTTACGAAATACTATGTTTTACAAAAATAAGCAAATTCAAAGGCTGTCGCAACAAAGCACTATGCTTAGGAGACAACACTAAGAGGAGGGGAATATAAAATTTTATCCAAGCTATGGGGCAACCCAGGTGGCTCAGTGGTTTAGCGCCACCTTCAGCCCAGGGCATGATCCTGAAGACCCAGGATCGAGCCCCACATCCAGCTCCCTGCATGGAGCCTGCTTCTCCCTCTGCCTGTGTCTCTGCCTCTCTGTGTGTCTCTCATGAATAAATAAATAAAATCTTCAAAAAAATTTTTATCCAAGCTATGATGGTAAAATCATAAAACTGTGTATTGACAGAGACTAGGAATGAATACACGAAGGATTCTGGATAAGCAATTTATATACATATTAGATTCAGTGTCAATTCATTTGGCAGGCATCGTGGCATTTTATATGTTCTGGATCTCGCACTTCATTCTTTCAACTCCTTCTAATACCAAGATAAGGTGTGAGAAGAGCACTATATAGGTTATTAGAGGACTGAGTTCTAGCCTTAGATTTCTTTTTTTTAATTTTTATTTATTTATGATAGTCACACACACACACACACACACACACACAGAGAGAGAGAGAGAGAGAGAGAGAGAGGCGCAGAGACATAGGCAGAGGGAGAAGCAGGCTCCATGCACCGGGAGCCCGACGTGGGATTCGATCCCGGGTCTCCAGGATCGCGCCCTGGGCCAAAGGCAGGCGCCAAACCGCTGCGCCACCCAGGGATCCCTAGCCTTAGATTTCTAAGCAGCATCAACTGAACCACACATAGTCCCCTGACCATGGTTTCTACATTTCTCACTAATATGATGATTGAAGCAAGATAAGGAATACCAATGACTTTGAAAAATACTCTTTGCTATACAGCAATGGACATTGGTTTTTTTTTTAATTATTTTATTTTATTTTATTTATTTATGGTAGGCACACAGTGAGAGAGAGAGAGAGAGAGAGAGAGAGGCAGAGACACAGGCAGAGGGAGAAGCAGGCTCCGTGCAGGGAGCCCGACGTGGGACTCGATCCCGGGTCTCCAGGATCAGGCCCTGGGCTGAAGGCGGCGCTAAACCGCTGCGCCACCCAGGGATCCCCTGGACAATGGTTTTAAAATCATTATTATTAATACCATCAACATAGTTGGCGAGTAAGAATACAAAAGAATAAGAAATTTCAGCCTAATAGAAGGAATAGAGCAGGAGACTACAGAGCTGGGAGCGGAGGGGTGGGTCATGGAAAAATAACTAAAAAGAAATAGAATAATAGCTGTGTGCTAGACATTGTTCTAAGTGCTTTATGTCTATTTATTCATTTAATTTTCACAACAACTTTATGAGATAAGTGCTGTTATTTTGCCCATTTTAAAGATGAGGGACTTTGGGCATAGAGAGGCAACATAACTCATCCACAGTCACACAGCTAGTTTCTAGTGGATCCAGGATTTGTACCCAGGCAATATGGCTCCAGAGTCCATACTCTGAACTACTATGCTACATTCCAGAAAGGAGGAGAGCAGGAGGCATCTGGTGGAATGATGAGCAGGGAATGGAAGAAAGAGCAGGAAGTTCAGAAACACATTTTTTTATTGAGCACCTAGTATATACTGTAGACTAAGGAAAATAAGACCATGGTCCATGCCCTTGAAAAGCCTATAGTCTGGTAGGAAGACATGTAGTGAATCACATCATTTCAAAATAATGCGGCAAGTTCTGAAATAAATACAAAGACGCATATACCAACCGCTGTTAAGGATACAGAGAACAAGCACTTCACCCAGCCCAGGCTGGTGGCACCAAAAATGGCTTCTTAGAGAAGGTGACTCCTAGCCTAAGAATTATGAGTTGAAATGAGGAATTGAAACAGGGAGAGGGTGATCCGGACTGAGCAAAGTATGTGCAGGGAGAAAACCATGAAGGCAAATGAAAAGGGTGTATGTGGGAAAAGCATGAAATCCCTATCCAGAGGGAACTGGTTTTTGTTTACCTCACATGGACATCAAACTGCCTCAAAAGTTGCCCATATTTTTCACGTAGCACTTCCTTCTCTTGCTGCAACCCAGAAAGCTTTTCTGACAATTCTTGGTTGCTCTTAAGATGCTGAAAAACAATTTTTAAAAAATTAGTCTATTCTGTGCTGCAAGGTTGGAAGTCTGAAAACTACCTTTCCCAGACTCTCTTGACAGCAGAGTTCCAGCACTGCGGGGGGAACCCATGGTTCTCCTCTAGCACTAGCAGGTAAATGGACAGAGAGACAGTTGACGAGACATTTGCGGGCTTCAGGAAGTGTTCCTGCAAATCTCCCACTCTGGGGCTGCAGGAGTGGGTTTCTCTGGGATTTCTGAACTTCTGGAGTTACTGAAAGTCAGCAGCAGTTCTTTCTGACCTTCTCTCCACCCCTACGTTTCCCTTCCAACAGTTTCCCTTCCAACAGTTTGTAAGCATGTTATTCCCTGTGTTAGATCCTTTCTTGCTTGAGATATCTAGAGTAGATTCTGCTTTCCCAATACACTTAACGGGTAAAATGCTAGGCACTCAATAAGTATTAGGTATTACTCAGGTCTATGGAACAGGAAAACTGAGAAGCACATCTATTTGCTTTTCTTACCTCGTCTGATTTTCTTTTTTCATCTTCTAGTTGTTTAAGTTGGGCCTCCTGTTCCTGAATTCTGGATTGTTGCTGAGAAGTGGTTATTTCCAGTTGATTCCCTTTATCTTGTAAGATGCTCACTTGCTTTTGTAGCTCATTTACATTCTGATCTAGGAGTTTCCTGAGAGCAATTAATGTACATTAAATCACACTGAATTTATGGAATTCTTTGACCTAAAATTGTTATATCATCACAAGGGATTTTACTGGTCCATTGAGGTAGGGCACGTGTCCATAAAATAAAGAGACCAGCACAGGGGACCTCTTTTGTGACAAATGCTTCTCTTAGTTCTCTCTCTCACTCATCAAGACAACCCTACAAAGAGGAAGTAATTTCCCTTATTTCACAGAGGAAGCTGTGGTTCTGAGAGGTTTAATTAACTTGCTAGGACAAGATGGAGGTAGGGCTCTGATCCTGAATCTTCTATTCTTTCTTTTTTTTTCTTTTTTTTTTGTTTTCTTTCTTCTATTCTTTCTACTCGTTCTTGTGGCTTTACAAGTTGGGTCCCTTGATCTTCTTGGTTCAACATAGGGCTGTTAGTTACAAATGTTATTGATACTAATGCACACAGGTTAACACTGCAAGAGCTGAATCATAAATAAGCCCGTGTTTGATGAGGAAATTCACCCTTTTCCAGAAGGGCCATAAGTACTTAACTCCTTCAGAGGGAATCTCATCAGACTACAGTTCGTGGAAGAGTTTCTGAGGATTTCTGACAAGGCTCTTTGGATTTAGGAGATGATCAAGAAGAATATGATGAGGATGATGGAGTAACATCTACATGCTAGGTCACTACTGATACTGGACAACTGAACTCACTTTCTCTAACTTCAGTTTTCAGAAAAGCCAATGGATTACTGGGAAAGATTGATATTTGAGACTTGGGACTCATATCTCTCAGCCTCCAGCACCTCCAGCTCTTGTCATGGTTCTGGATATAAGCGCAGGCTCTATAAGCTTACCTTGTACCATTCATATCTGTCCCTGCACCAGGACTGCCCCCTTCACCTCTGTTTTACCTCATTCATTATAGACCTGAGCAATTCTTGACAATTATTGTCTGCTCTTTTGGTTCCATTCTGAATTTCTGATCAAGGGGCCAGACTAAGAAATAAGCTTTGGAGCTGAAAGGGAAGTTTTAAATTGCTAGGACTAAAGAAAATTGAGGGATCCCTGGGTGGCGCAGCGGTTTGGCGCCTGCCTTTGGCCCAGGGCGCGATCCTGGAGACCCGGGATCGAATCCCGTATCGGGCTCCCGGTGCATGGAGCCTGCTTCTCCCTCTGCCTGTGTCTCTGCCTCTCTCTCTCGCTCTCTCTGACTATCATAAAATAAAAAATTAAAAAAAATAAAAAAAAAAAGAAAATTGAGTTATATGCAATAGAATCTAGGAGTTGGAAACGGACATTGAAACATATCAAGTCAAAATTTAAAAAACTAATGAAATGTTAGAAATTAATTCCCATATTATATATAGTTTGAAAAAAGACAAATAAACCAGTTATGCCAATGAATGAAATTAAGAAGGCTCTCTGCTCCTCTCCCTTAGATATATGCAGCCACATCTTCTGGTGCAGTGCCAGTCCTGTCCCTGAGACACAACGATGAAAGTTGGAGTAAGTCAATTTGGCCATATTGGGCACCTGGCCACTGGGACTGCTTTTAACTCTGGTAAAGTGGATACTGTAGCCATCAATGGCCCCTTCACTGACCTCAACTACATGATCTACATGTTCCACTATGATTCTACCCATGGCAAATTCCACAGCATAGTCAAAGCTGAGAACAGGAAGCTTATCATCAATGGAAAGCCCATCTCCATCTTCCAAGAGCAAGATCCCGCCAACATCAATTGGGATGATGTTATGCTGAGTATGTTGTGGAGTCCACTGCTATCTCACCATGGAGAAGTCTGGGGCTCACTTGAAGGGTGGGGCCAAGAGGATCATCATCTGTTCCCACTCTGCTGATGCTCCCATGTTTGTGGTGGGCATGAACCTTGAGGAGTAAGACAACTCCTTCAAGATTGTCAGCAATGCCTCCTGCACCACCAACTATTGGCCTCTCTGACCAAGGTCATCCATGACAATTTCGGAATCGTGGAGGGATTCAGGACCACAGTCCATGCCATCACTGTCATTCAGAAGACTGTGGACAGCCTCTATGGCAAGCTGTGACATGATGGCTGCCTAGAATATCATCCCTCCTTCTACTGGCGCTGCCGAGGCTGTAGGCAAGGTCATCCCTGAGCTGAATGGGAATCTCACTGGCATGGCCTCTGTGTCCCCACCCCCAATGTGTTAGTCATGGATCTGACCTCCTGCCTGGAGAAAGCTGCCAAATATGATGACATCAAGAAAGTGGTGAAACAGGCATTACAGGGCCCCCTCAAGGGCATCCTGGGGTACACTGAAAACCAGGTTGTCTCCTGAGACATTCATAGTGACACCCACTCTTCCACCTTCAGTGCTGGGGCTGGCATTCCTCTTAATGACCACTTGGTCAAGCTTATTTCCTAGTATGACAATGAATTTGACTACAGCAACTGGGGGGTGGACTTTATGGTCCTCATGGCCTCTAAGGTGTGAGAAACCCCTAGACCACCAGCCTCAGTGAGAGCAAGAGGAAGAGAGAGGCCCTCAGCTGCTGGGGAGTCCTTGCCCCAATTCATCCCCTAACACACTGAGAATCTCCAGACCACCACAGTTTTCATCCCAGACCCCTGAAGAAGGGGAGGGGCTTGGGGAGCTCCTGTGTTGTTATGTACCATCAATAAAGTACACTGTATCCAGCTTAAAAAAAAAAAGAAATTAAGAGATAAATGGGTTGAAGCATCCTGGTTTCCCCAATGGCCTTAATCTCTCAATCCATTCCTTACATAGCAACCAGAGTGCTCTTTCTACATCACAATCTCATCATATCATAAGGTTCAAATACCTCAATATAGCTTGCTAGCTAGCTTACCTTTCTAGCCTCATTTTCTTGCCCCCAAACATTTTGTTCCAGGCAAAATGAACTTTTTTCACACCTGAAATAAGTCATCCTCTACACTTATTTCTCCCCTGCAACTCCAACCTTGTCCTTATCTTCCTCTTCTAGGACTTCTTTCCCCTAATATTCTCTATTGAGCTATCCATCCCAAGTTCCTCACACTAAGCTTAAACAGATTTCATTGAGGAAGGCTTTCTTGAGCTCCCTAGACCAGACTAAGTGTCTCTGCTATGCACTACCACAGCATCTTCTCTTAGCATAACACTTATTATAAAGTCTATGTACACAGATATTCATTGCATCATTATTTGTAACAGCAAAAATGTCTAAAAAGCATTTTATATAAATTATAGTTATGTAACAGAATGTTATGAAACTGTTTAAAATAATATTATGGAACTAAAATCAGTAACAGAAAGATAGCTGGAAAATCCCAAAATATCTGGAGATTAAACAATATGCTTCTAAATAATACATGTCAAATAAGAAATCATAAAAAATTAAAAATATTATGAACTACATGTATTTTACATGAAGATGAAAATACAACTTACAAAATTTGTGAGTTGGAACGAAAGCTATGCTTAGTGGGACATTTACAGCATTAAATGCAAATATTGGGCAGCCTCGGTGGCTCAGTGGTTTAGCACCACCTTCAGCCCAGGGTGTGATCCTGGAGACCTGGGATCGAGTCCCATGTCAGGCTCCCTGCATGGAGCCTGCTTCTCCCTCTGCCTGTGTCTCTGCTTCTCTCTGTGTGTGTCTTTCATGAGTAAATAAATCAAATCTTTAAAAAAAATAACTGCAAATATTATAAAAGGAAGATCAAAAATCAATAATCTAAGCTTCCACTTTAGGAAATTAGAGAAAGCAGACCAATATAATCCTAAATAAAGCAGAAGAAAAGAAATAACAAAAAACAGAGCAGAAATTAGTGAAACTGAACACAGGAAAACAATAGAGAAAAACAATTTAAATGGTTCTTTGAACAGATCAATAAAATTGATAAACCCTAGGCAGGGTAATCAAGAAGCAGAGAAGACACAAATTTCTAATATCAGAAATGAAAGATGGATCACCACTACTGATCCTATGGACATAAAAAAGGACAATAAAAGAATATTTTTTTAAACAAGTCTATGCCTACACATTTGATAACTTAGATGAAACAGACTGGTTCGTTGAAAGACACAGTCTACCAACACTTATGCAAGGAGAAATAGATACTGTGAATAGACCTCTACCTACTAAAGAAATTGAATCACTATTTAATAACTTTTCAAAAAATAGGGCACTAAGCCCAGATGGTTTCACCAGTGAATTCAACCAAACATAAAGAAGAAATGATATCAATTCTCTACAATCTCTTCCAGAAAAAGTGAAGAAGAGGGAATACTTATTAATCAATTCTATGATGTCAGCATCTCCCTAATACCAAAACCAGATAGAGATGTTACAGGAAAGGAGAGCTATAGACCAGTGTCTTCCATGAACATGCCCCAAGTCCTTGATGTGGCTTGTTACGTTCAGCAGGGCTCGAGTCTAGCTTACTTTTCTAGCCTCTTTTCTTGCCATTTGCCTTATTCTCAGACATTTTGTTCTGGGCCAGATGAACATTTATCACTTCACTGAAGAAGATGTTGATGACAACAGTAACAAAAATAACATCAAATATTGCAACAACAATAATAATAACACCTTTTTAGTCCTGACTTGTAACGTGTCAACTTGTCCAGGAATTACCTCTGTATATGTTTCTGGTTAGACTGGGCTACAAGAGATATACTTTACTTGTACAGGGTATGGAGGGTGGAAGTAAAGCAGTTTGGGTTTTACACTCAGGAAGTCAGAGTAGGTGCCTTTGAAGCTCATCCCCATTGCCAGGTATCTGCGGCTCACCTCTGTGTGAAGCAACAGCTAGGCTTGCAACTGCTCTATCTTTTCCAGCTCCTGGACCAGGTGTTCAGTTAGCTCCTTGATAAGGGGGACCATTTTCTCCTGCAGGACACCTACTTCATCAAGGTTGGAGGCAGGGACAGGGTCCAGTCCATCCTCACGGTTTTGCCCTGTGCTCATGGGTTTAGCTTGTCATTGCACTCTCACTTCATATCCATCTACACTTCCTGACCACTCATCCTGCAGACTTTGAGCTCTAGCATAAGATGAATGATGATAGCCTTACAAACTGTGTAACCTGCCCCACAATGGCATAAGACCAAATCCTGGTACCAAATCTCTTACTAAATATGTATTTCTCTTACTGGTTCTATTCTGATGGATTCCTGACTAATACGAGTGCTTACTATGTGCCCTATGCTGATAATATAACCTAACTCTTAAAGCTCATTTAATCCACGCAACAATCTTATGAATTAGGTGTGGAGAGGCACTGAAAGGATAAGAAACTTGACCAATATTATGTAGCTCTTACATAGCTAATAAGATGCCCATGTTATATTGTTAGGTAAAAAATGCAAATTCAAAAGCAACATATTATTTTAAAGATTTAATTTATTTATGAGAGAGAGAGAGAGAGCATGAGAGGTCACAAGCAGGGGGGAGGGGTAAAGGGAGAAGCAGACTCCCCACTGAGCAGGGAGCCTGATGCAGGACTCGATCCCAGGACTCTGAGATCATAACCTGAGCCAGAAGGCAGATGCTTAATCGACTGAGCCACCGAGGTACCCCAAAGCAATATATTTTAAAGGGGTCAACTTTTGTCAACAAAATACAAATAATAAAAATATATGCATATGTGTAGAAAAAAGACCTGAGAAATATGTATGAACCACTTGAAGTGGTTATTGCCAAAGGACAGAATTCTAAAGGATTTATTCTTTTTATTTTATATAGCTCTTTTTTTTTTTACAAAGATTTATTTATTTTATAAAGAGAGAGAGTGCACAGGTCTGTGCGAGCAGGGGAGGGGTAGAGGAAGAAGGAGAGAATCTCAAGTAAGCTCCATGCTCAGCGCAAAGCCCAACACAGGGCTCAATCTCCTGACCTTGAGATCATAACTTAAGCCAAAATCAAGAGTCAGAAGCTTAACCAAATGAGTCACTAATGTGCCCTAATATTTCTCTTTAGTAACTGAAATTTCATAATGAGTATTATAATTAATTATAATTAATTACAATTTTACTTGCTAGAATTATCCCATGGAAGTAGTAAAGGATATACACAAAAATTTGGCTACAAGGAAAGATATTAGGTTATTGCTTATTACAGCAAGAAACTGGAAAAGATGTAAATATACAACAATAAGGGATTAAGTTAATTATGGTCTGTTATTAGAATAATGTTCTAGAAGGTTTATGGAAGATAAACCGAACAGTGAAAAAAGTAGGTTACAATCTAAATATCTAAATTGGGATTGCTTTCCTCCAGGTTACAAAACAATGTATATTATATAGTTCTTTGTGGAAAAGAATTTCCCTACATATTTCATTTTCTTATAGCTAGCTGAAATATTACATATTATTTCTACATAGTTTGTCTTGGGCGATCTTCACAGAAGAAGTATAGAGCTGGTATTACTAGTCCCACTTTAGAGATAAGAAACCAAGTTTCAGGGAAGTTAAATAGCCTTTTCCTTGCTCAATTCTTGGATTACATCTTTTGTTTCTTTTTTAAAAATATTTTTATTTGAGTATAGTTGATGCACCATGTTGCATTAGTTTCAGGTGTAGAACGTAGTTATTTGACAAGTTTATACATTATGCTGTGTTCACCGTAAGTATAGCTACCATAATATGTCACATACGATGCTATTACAATACCATTGACTATATTCCTCATGCTGTACCTTTCATTCCCATGATTTATTCACTCCATAACTGCAAGCCTGTATCACCCACTCCCCTTCATCCATTTTGCTCATTCCCCTACTATCCTTCCCTCTGTCAATCCTCAATTTGTTCTCTGCGTTTATAGATCCAATTCTGCTTTTTGTTTGTTCATTTGTTGTTGTTTTTTTTAGATTCTACATATGAGTGAAATCATATGGTATTTACCTTTCTCAGTCTGACTTATTTCACTTAGCATAATACTCTCCAGGTCTATCCAATTTGTTGCAAATGGCACAATCTCATCCTTTTTATGGCTGCATAATATTCCATTACAGAGGGTGTACACAAGTACAGCATCACATCTTTCTTATCCATTTGTCTATTGATGGACGCTTATGTTGCTTCCATATCCTGGCTATTGTAAATAATGCTGCAATAAACAAAGGGGTGCCTGTATCTTTTTAAATTAATGTATTTTCATTTTCTCTGGGTAAATACCTGGTAGTGGAATTACTGGGTCATATGGTGGTTTTACTTTTAATTGTTTGAGGAACTTCCATCCTGTTTTCCACAGTGGCTGTACCAATATATGTTCCTACTAACAGGGTATGAAGATTTCTTCATATTTTGTTTCTTTAAAAGCCTCATATAGTTGTTTTGCAATCTATTATTCATAATTCCTGTTGCAGAAGTTCTTGGGGGTTATAAATCTGGTGTTTGTTGTATCCAATGACAATCATTTGTGGTAGCCAGTTTCCTTGTGTCATTTGGTAATTTTTTATTGTAGGCTTATATCTGATTAAACTTAATATATGGGAATCCTTCACATCTGAATTGGGCTTGCTTTCCTCCTAAGAGAATTTGGGGAAGTCAGGAAGCTGCCTACTAGGGAACACTTCAAGACTCTCAGCTTAGTATCAGAGTCTCTAGTTCACTCTCCCACCTTGAGGCAAACTTCCTCAGATCCTTTTCCCAAACCCGAGGTGATATTATTATTTGCCCTCTGACTCAGAAGTTTATTCACATTCATCATTTTTGTTTGAGCTTATTGTATGTTTGCTGTTGGTGCTTTCTCTTGCTTTACTGTGGGTAAAGCTTTAAAAGGTATACGGACTATGTTTATTCAGGATCTAGCTGTGTTATAACAGAAGGATGGCCTGCCATCCTGTTAGAGGCAGCAGTGAGACAAGTATTTTTCTACTGTACCTCACTCAGTGAACTCATTATTCATTCATACATTTATTCATTTACTTATTCAAACATTCATTCATTCACTATTTTCTGAGTACCTATTGAGTGCTAGGCCCTATACTAGAGCTTTTATCTAAAGCTGAAAGTATATTTCTCAGCTTCATAATATACATGAATGTCTGCGTATCTTTTCAGCAGCTAAAACCAACTTTTTATTAAAATAGATGTGAATTACTGGGAGTGTCATAGAAAAAGAAACCAGTTACTGAAGTTTAGGGTATCCAGGGAGATCGCCTAAGTAAGAATTCTAATAGTAATCCTAATAATTTGAGAAAAAATAAAAAAGAAAGCTCTTATCTGGGAACAGATTATTGATGATTAAGATACCTGGAAAGTACTTGAGACTTCTTTGAAGAATATCAGCTGATAAATACAAACATCAATTTCATTTGGTTTGCCTTTTCACCAGTCATGTTAGAACTAGAAAAGCAAATCCCAGAGTATCATATTTCAGAGGTAATACAGTTATCAAGAACATGGACTGGGGGCACCAAGTGTGTCTCAAAGCAACAAGATACAATCCCTGCCTTTAAGAATCCAACACGCTAGTGTGAATGGCAAACAAGACCAACAATGAGAACACAGTGTTGGTAAGCCTGGTGTAACTGAGTTCACTTGAGTGGGAACACTGAGGAAATACGTCCATAAACTGACACTGCTGGCAAACTGGGGGTTAGCCCGGGGGAAGCTGCCATCTTTGTTCCTCTTACCTGTTTTGTTGCTCTTCCTGATATTGTTGCTTTGTTTTAGCTTCATTTTCCAGGGCTTCTTTTATTCTTTCCTCGAGTTGCTTCTTCCCCAAAGCACATGTGTCTGAGAGACAGACTTTGTGAGCTTGTTCTAATTTCTGCTGTAGATCCAAAATCTTGAAGGAAAAATTTCACCAATAAAATGTTAAGCAAAGTCTGACCTTTTTTCCAATTAGGGATATGCCATATGAGGAACTGGCAAACACAGTGCTAACAAACAAATCTGGTCTAAAGTAAACAGCAAGGCTAGATTTATTTTAATTTTAAAATAAATTACCTAAGTTTTACAATATATGAAACATTCACACAGTTTAACGGATGTTTGTGTAAATGAAGCTTTATAGTGAAAGCTCCTTCCCATCTCTAGCTTGTCTTCCTGCCAGTTTTCCTGCACTACATACATAATCACTGGTATTAGTTTCTTGTGTACCTTTCCGGGATTTATGCCTACATAAATATTATTATACAGTTCTCCCTCGTATGCATATTTTTTACACAGATGATGACATATCATATATACTTATGTACTTTGCTTTTTTAAAAAATATTTTTTTTTTTAGATAGAGAAAGAATGAATAGAGGAGGAGGAGGGGATAGGGGGAGGAGAAAGAATCTCAAGCAGGCTCCATGCCCAGTGTAGAGCACGATGCAGGGCTTGATCTCTTGACACTGAAACCATGACCTGAGCCAAAATCAAGAGTCAGACACTTAACTGACTGAGCCACCTAGGTGCCTCAGATGCATTTTACTTTTTATTTTTTTTATTTTTATTTTTTGCATTTTACTTTTTAAAAATAACACTATATTTGGTGATTTTTCCATATTATATGTGTATATAGAACTCTTATAGATGTATACCATTCCATTATAAGGATATATTATAACTTATTTAAATAGATCCCTACTGATGGGATATTTAAATTGATTCCAGTCTTTCGCTATTACAAACAATCGCTCTAGAATAAATTATAAGATATGAATTTGCCAAGGCAAAGGTATTATTATTTGTTTGTTTGATAATGCCAAACTGACTCCATAGGTATTAGGCCAATTTATACTTCCAACAGCAATGTGTGAGCATGTCTAGTTTCTTCACAGTGCAACTAGATTCATGATAAGATTTTTTTTTAAGATTTTATTTATTTATTCATGAGAGACACAGAGAGAGGCAGAGACAGAGGCAGGTACACGTACTAAATTGTTTTCCAAAGTGTTCATACTGGGATGCCTTGGTTGCTCCATCAGGTGAGCATCTGGCTCTTGATTTTGGCTCATGATCTTGGGGTCCTGGGGAGCCCTGCATGGGGCTCCATGCCCAGCACGCAATCTGCTTAAGGATTCTCTTTCCTCTCCCTCTGCCCCTCCCCACACTCTCACATGTGCTGCTCTCTGTCTAAATAAATGTCTTTTAAAAAAAAACCCAAAGTGTTCATGTTAATTTATTCTTCCAATTGCAGTCAATATTTAAAACTCCTTATTGTACAAAATGCTCACCGATATTTAGTACTGTCTAAATTTAGATTTTTTTACTAATCTGGAATTACCAACTACTTTTCTGTTTTTTTATTTAAAAAATTTTTTAAGAGATTTTATTTATTTATTTATTTATTTTAGAGAGTGAGTGAGAGAGAGAGAGAGAAAGAGAGAGAGAGAGAGAGAGAGAGAGAGAGAGAGATCATGAGCAAGGATTAAAGGCAGAGGGAGAAGCAGACTCTCCACTGAGCAGGGAGCCCGACTGGGGGCTCCAACCCAGGACCCTGGGATCATGGCCTGAGCCAAAGGTAGACACTTAACTGACTAAGCCACCCAGATGCCCACCAATTACTTTTTTAATGGAGTAATAATATACACAAAGTGCACATATCTTGAGCATACTGAATGGAGTTTCACTTACAACTGTCTCTCACATCAAGGTATAGGATACTCCCAGCACCACAGAAAATTCCCTCTAGTCCTCTCCCAATTAGTGACCTAATAAAGACAATCTCATTCTCAGATCATAACTTAGTTTTGTCTATTCTTAAACCTCATATAAATGAAATTAAATGGTATGAACGTTCTTGTTCTGGTTTCTTTAGCTCAAAATTAGGCTTTTGAGCATAATTAAGATTGCTGTAATCTACTTTTATTTATTTATTTATTTTTTAAAAATATTTTATTTATTCATGACACACACACGCAGAGAGAGAGGCAGAGATACAGGCAGAGGGAGAAGCAGGCTCCATGCAGGAAGCCGGACATAGGACTAGATCCTGGGTCTCCAGGATGAGGCCCCGGGCCAAAGGAGGCGCTAAGCCACTGAGCCACCCGGGCTGCTCGCTGTCATCTACTCTTAGATATTTGTTTTATACTTATATGGTTTGATGAAATGATTTATTTACTTATTTTATGATTTATTTTTTTATGTGAAATTTGACTCTCCAACCCACAGACCAAAATGTGCAACTGTTACATACTACTGCCACCTGGTGTTAGGCAATCTGAAATGCAGGGGCATTATTTCAAAACAGTCCATTTCACAACACAAATCTCCCCAAAATTACAAAGTAAATATCATATCAGCAGACAAATGAGAGGAGAATAAATCTTTTAAAAGTTGAAAGTATAAAACAAAAGTCATATGGCTTCAATCGGTTACTTTAAGTTCATGTTATAGCTTTAATGAAACTTAATCTTTTAAAGTTCATGCAGTTTAAAGAAACACGAGATTTACTGGAACAGTAGGAGCAGGTGATGTCAAAAGAGAGGAAAGTATGGAAGAGCAAAGAAAAACCCGAGAATTCTATCAAGTTGGCATTGTAACTACTTCTTAATATCCTTAGGGAAATAGGATTTCAGTTGTGATATTCAGTGCATGCTGTTTATTAAGCTTGAGGATAATTACCTTCGCTTCTGCATCAGCAACTTTTGATTTCTCCTGATCCAGCTTTTCCTGCAGGTTGTTCTGTGATTTAATGCTCTGAGCCTGTACCTCTAGCTCCAGTTCCCGGATTTTCTGCTGACAGTGCTTCCATTCTGCTGTGAGTGAAGAGCACATCTTTGTGCTATCTAAGAACTTCTGCTGGGCCTGCTTTAGTTCAACTTTGATCTAGAGGTGGGGATTAAACAGAGTGATAGTAATAAGCATTGAAATAAGACGAATATTGAGCCAGGATAAGCACTTTTCATAGTGCAGTCCCCCAAGAGCTGACAAATAACCAATGTCATATGGATGGTTACCTCTCTGGAGCTGTCATGTGTTAGTAAGGTTTGCCAAAGTCTATCTAGCCAGATGGCAGATGGCAGCTGGACAGAGGAATTTTCCCAAGAGTTTCTATACACGCATCATCTGAACATTTTCCATCCTTTTTTTCAATCTCCTACAAGCTGGCTTTCATCCTCACTACTCCATGAAACTGTTTATGCCAGGGGCACTACTGATCTCCCCACTGCCAAAATGAATCCAATGGACAAACTGAACTCTTAGGTAGTGTTCACTCCCTCCATCTCAGAAAGTTCTGTTGGAGTCTATATGATACCAAACTCTGCTGGTTTTCTCCTTTCTCTTTTCTGTGTTCCTTCCTGGTCCTTTCCATTCTAATGCTACCCAACTTCTAAATATCATTGGACTACCCTAGGCCTTGAGAGTGGTTTTGAAATACCACCTTTATGCCCATAACTGCCAAAATAAAACTCCTTGAGTCTGTCCATATCAAAAATCATTTTTTCCCTCAATCTCCCTGATTTCAGTAAGTGATGCCACCACCTAAAGTTCTGTTTGAGCCAGTAGTCTGAGAGTCATCCCGAGCCTTCCTTTCTCATCATGAGCCCATTTGGCACCTGCTGGCATGCTGCCTCCACAACGTGTCTCGCATCAGCCCATCTGTGTCCACCACTCTTGTGTACGACATCATCATCTCTAGCCTGGATCATCATGATAACAACATGGTCCTGCTGCTTCCATTTTTATTCCCTTCTTATCTCTTCTCTTCATTGCAGCCCAAGTGTGTGTTTGTTCTTTCTTTCTTTCTTTCTTTCTTTCTTTCTTTCTTTCTTTCTTTCTTTTTTCCTCCTTTCCCTCCATCCCTACTCTCTTTTCTTTTCTTTCTTTCTTGAGAGCAAGTGCACAGGAGGGAGGGAGGGGAAGAGGGAGAGGGAGAGAAGCTCAAGCAGGCTCCACACCCAGCACAGAACCTGATGCAGGGCTCCATCTCACAACCCTGAGATCATGTCCTGAGCCAAAATCAAGAGTTGGAGGCTTAACTGACTGAGCCAACCAGGTGCCCTCCCCCCGACTCCTTTTCTTCCCCTTGCCAACCTCTTTTAAATCACAGGTTACTTAGCACCATGAAAGTAAAGGGGCTATCTTTATATTTAAAAATTGGTGACTAATTTTAGTAAAAATTTTGAAAATTTAAATGAAAAGAAAAAATTTCTATAAAAATAAAATTTACTAAAGTTGATAACAAGAAAAAATGAAAAGTGTGATTTCTTATAACTATTAGGAAACTGAATCAGTAATTGAAAATCTTCCTAGAAGAAAACTCTAGAATCATAAGGATTCAGAAATCAGTTCTTACAATTATTGAAGAAAAAGGAATTGTAATTTATTGTTAGAAACTCCTCCAGAGGTTCCTCAAAGAATTAAAAATAGACCTGCCCTACGACCCAGCAATTGCACTGTTAGGGATTTACCCCAAAGATTCAGATGCAATGAAACGCTGGGACACCTGCACCCCAATGTTTCTAGCAGCCATGTCCACAATAGCCAAACTGTGGAAGGAGCCTCGGTGCCCATCGAAAGATGAATGGATAAAGAAGATGTGACTTATGTATACAATGGAATATTCCTCAGCCATTAGAAACGACAAATACCCACCATTTGCTTCAATGTGGATGGAACTGGAGGGTATTATGCTGAGTGAAATAAGTCAATCGGAGAAGGACAAACAGTGTATGTTCTCATTCATTTGGGGAATATGAATAATAGTGAAAGGGAATGTAAGGGAAGGGAGAAGAAATGTGTGGGAAATATCAGAAAGGGAGACAGAACATAAAGACTCCTAACTCTGGGAAATGAACTAGGGGTGGTGGAGGGGGAGGAGGGCGGGGGTGGGGGTGAATGGGTGACGGGCACTGAGGGGGGCACTTGACGGGATGAGCACTGGGTGTTATTCTGTATGTTGGTAAATTGAACACCAATAAAAATTAATTTATTAAAAAAAAAAGAAAGAAACTCCTCCAGAGAACAGAAAAAGGGTATGTTTCCCATCTCATGTTAAGGGGCTAGGGTAACCTTAATGCCAATATCTGACATGGATGTTATAAGAAAGGAAAATGACAGGCCAGTCTCATTCAGGAACAAAGATGCAAAAATTCCAAAGAAATACTGGCAAGCTAAAATCAGCAATGTAGAAAAAGAATAATAATTTAGGATGAAGTTGGGTTTATCCCAAGAATGCAAAGTTGAGTTAACATTAGAAAATCAGTTAATGTAATTCACCATATTAACAGATTTAAAAATCAAAATATGCAGAAAAGTAATTTGATAAAATTCAACATGTGCTCATCACAAAACATTGAATGAACACTAGAATTTTCTTAATGTGATTTTTAAAAGTCTTAAAAAAATACCTTACAAGACATATTCAATGAAATGAGACTGGGAAGGAGAAAATGTACCCACTATCACCAGCTCTATTTGGCACTATATTAGCCACTGCTTAGAACAAGGATAAAGAATGAAAGGTGGAACATGTGTAGAAGGGAAGAAGGAAAATCATATTTATTCTTATATGATATGATTGCTTATATATAAAATACAGAATAATATAAATATAAATTATAAGAAGTAATTAAAAGCATGGCAAGGTTTTTATTAGAAAAAACTTAGTACATTTTTGTGTTAGCAATAGTTAGAAGATGAAATTTTTAAAAAGTTACCACTTACAATAGTATGGAAAGTATCAGCACCTAGGAGTATGTCCTACAAAAGATGTATAAGACCTCCACAAATAAAATTATGATACTGGGAGAAATTAAAGAAGACCTAAATATAATACACACACATTTTGTAGAGGATTTGATATTATAAAGATTTAAATTCTCCCCAAATTTATCTATAGATTTGGTGTATAGATTCAGTGTAGAAATCCCAAAAGACCATGTGTGTAAATATGTGTATATGTGTGAGTACATGTGGGTATGAGCGTGTACCTTGACAGGATGATGACAAAATTTATACAGAATTTCAAATGGCCAAGTGTAGCCAAGGCATCCTAGAATAAGAGCAACAAGAAAAAAAGATGTGCTCTATCAAATATTAAGATTTATGTAAAGCTGAAGTAATTAAGATAGCATGTTATTGGCACAAGAATAGACAAAATAGGACAATGGAACAGAATAGAGAGCTTGGAAACAGACCATATATATATACTAATATTCTTATGGCCCAGGTGACAATATAGTAATGTAGGAGAATATCTTTATGACTTTGAGGTCGTCAGTGATTTTGTCCTTTTTTTTTTCTCAAAGATTTTTTATTTGTTTATTTGAGATAACAAGAGAGAGAGAGAGAGCATGAGCATGAGCCAGGGAGAAGAGTAGAGAGAGAGAAGTAAGCTCTCCGCTGAGCTCAACCAACTTGGGGCTTGATCCCAGAACCCTGGGATCATGATCTGAGCTGAAAGCAGACACTTAACTGACTGAGCCACTCTTGTTATAAATGGCAAACATTGATTAGGTTAAAATTTAAAACTTTGATTCATCAAAACATATATTTAGAGAGTGAAAATATAAGCCATAGAGTAGAAGATGTTCATAATACACACCTGATCAAGGCTTCATAAATTAAGAATTCCTATAAATTAATGGGAAAATTAAAAGGACAAAAAGAAAGAAAGAAAGAAAGAAAGAAAGAAAGAAAGAAAGAAAGAAAGAGACAGAAGCCCCCCAGAAAGGTAAACAAAATCTTGAACAAGTGTTTCACAAAATAGAAACTCAAATGTCAAATAAATAAGCTGTTCAGCTTCATTTTTAAAACAAGGAAATGCACATTAAAACTGCTAAGAGCTACCACTATACACATATAAGATTAGCAAAAATTGTAAAGTCTGACAGTATCAAGAATTGTTGAGAATGTAGAGCAATAGAAAACTTCATACCTGCTGGTAGGAGTATAAACCTTTAGCAAAAGTTCAAGTCATATATACCCTATAATTTCACTCCCACTCTCTTCCTAAAGAAATACGTACTATGGATGGACACCAGAACACATGTATACGAGTGTTCACAACAGCAGTTTTTGAAAAATAGAGGCGTTACTCAGATCCTTTTGTGCATTCACTATTCAAGAAAGAGTCTTAACATTCAATAAATGAACATATCTGAAATAACATGCTCTTATGCTCTATGTTTAAAAGCAAAGGTCCGGGATCCCTGGGTGGCGCAGCGGTTTGGCGCTTGCCTTTGGCCCAGGGCGCGATCCTGGAGACCCGGGATCGAATCCCACATCGGGCTCCCGGTGCTTGGAGCCTGCTTCTCCCTCTGCCTGTGTCTCTGCTTCTCTCTCTCTCTCTCTCTCTCTCTGTGTGACTATCATAAGTAAATAAAAAAATAAAAGCAAAGGTCCTTGGATAAAAGCTGCTCAAGTGTCCAGAGAGCTAAGCTCCTGATACCTCCTTTTGCATTAAGTTCTGAACACCAGATATGCCATCTCCAAAAATGTTAACAGATATGTAAAAATGATCAAAATGATTTATTAAACAGAGTAGAAATGAATGTGTGTAGAAATAAAGAAACCCTACGGGACTAATATGCCTTGATATCATTGGTGGTCAATATAGATCAATAGAGAAAAACTACTGTAATAAGCTAGTCTCTTTGGTGTTACCAAAAAGAAATTATAGATCAAGTTTTAATAAGCTTCCTATTTTTCCAGTAAAAATCCTTCTTTGTCCCCTTCCCTGCCACTCTAAACTAGTTCAACCTCTCTCTCTCTTTAATTTTCTCATTTTATTTTGGAGGATTGATAGAGCTTTTTAAACTTCATTGACAGGACCAAACCTATTAAATACAGGTGTCTTCTCAAAAGGCTCTCTAACTTATTAGCTAGGAACTTTCATTTTTCTTTCTTTCTTTCTTTCTTTTTTTTTAAGATTTTATTTATTCATAAGAGACACCCAGAGAGAGAGAGAGAGGCAGAGACACAGGCTGAGGGAGGAGCCGGCTCCATGTAGAGAGCCCGACGTGGGACTCCATCCTGGGTCTCCAGGATCACACCCGGGCTGAAGGCTGTGCTAAACCGCTGAGCCACCAGTGCTGCCTGGAACTTTCATTTTTCAAGAACCAGGTAGCCATGTATAGAGGAAGACATGTGATTTCACTTATATGTGAAATGTGAAATGCAATACAAACAAAACAAAACAGAAATGAATTCATAAATGCAAAGAACAAACACACCAGAGGGGACGGAGGTGAGGGGGTGGGCACAATATGTGAATGGAATTAGGAGGTTAAAAAATAAATAAAAAAGAACAATGTAGCCTTAAAAACGGAGTAAGATGCAGGCAGATCTAATGAACAGGAGAAAAAACAAACGAGGGAAAAGAAGAAATCAAATGTTGGAAAATTTGGTGCATTTGACTAATTCAGGGTTATGAGACCTAAACTTCTTGCTATAAATAGAAAAGTTTCGAGTCCTCTCATAATATATTGTCTACCTCCTCCATAGGCCAAGAAAGCTAAAGGCTTCTGGGACCTGTGATCATCAGTCATAGAGCTAACACACAGTATTTTGGCCATGCTGGTAATGAAGAAACGAGGTAACAGTGGAGCAAACACTATTATGGCCAATGATGTGCATCTAGGAGGGCTTCTTTAGCTTTAGGTTGGGGTATTCAATCACAAATAAGAGGATCCAGCATAGTGTCTCAGTGTTGGTGGGGACAGAACAGCTCTCTGCCCGAAGCTGTCCAAGCCTATAGCATTCTTCTTAATAGCCCCAAGCTGGTAACATATAAGATGTCCATAAACCATACAGAGAATAAATAATGGCAATTTCTTATGATGGACTGCAAAGGAAATGAACAATAGCTATATACTGCAACATGGATGGACCTTCCAAAGTAGGTCATAAGAAGATAGACACAAGAATAGGCAAAACTAAACTATATTGTGTGAGATTCATATATGGGTGGTGAAACTATAAAGTAAAGCAAGAGGGTTATTGTCAAAATCAGCAGTTATGGCTAAAACGGAAAGGTGATTGAATTACAATGGGAAAGAGGCACGAACTGCTAGTAGGTGGCCAATGTGCTGTTTCTCATCCTGAGTGGTGGTTACATGGGTAATCACTTTACGACAATTTGTTAAACTCTATTTTTAGGTTTTATGTACTTTCTGAGTGTTCTAGGTCATAATAAAATGGTTTAAAGGCAATAAATTAATAATCTAGTTTCTTAATTAATCTTAAATATGTCTAACATTAGCCAGAGACCCAGAGTTTGATCATTTCTGAGTGGGTTTTTTTTTAAATTTTTATTTATTTATGATAGTCACACACAGATCGAGAGAGAGGCAGAGACACAAGCAGGCTCCATGCACCGGGATCCCAATGTGGGATTCGATCCAGGGTCTCCAGGATTGCACCCTGGGCCAAAGGCAGGCGCTAAACTGCTGCGCCACCCAGGGATCACTCTGAGTGGGTTTTTAAAAGTAAGTTCTTAGTTTGCAAAGCTGAGGTTCCAAGATGATCCCAAGTTGAGGAGAGGTGTAATACGGAAAGTTAACTCTTCACAGGAAAGAGAGAAACAGACCTGGATTTAAATTCTGACTCCATGATGCATTAGCTTTGCAACCTTGGACAGTTTCTCATCTATAAAATGCTGACCCTTCACAGCCGTAGGGAGGTTTATAAGAGATAAAGTAAATTAAAAAAATAAAAAGGTAGTTGGCTGTTGTAATGACTCCATTTAGGTACCTTGTCTAAGGAACCAGCCAAAACACTGATATCTCATTATTGAAATGGCCAATATTTTACCCCACCACTAAGGCGATTTAGAACAGAACTTTTACCAATCTATCATTTACCCATCCCTAAAGGACTCATTCATTAATTTAACAAATATTTCTGGGGTGCCAACCACAGATAAGGCATCATAATGTGTGTTGCTCTGGTTATTACACCTTAAGAAAGATATAGTATTGCTTGGATGTGCTCAGAGTTAGACAGTTGAAATGATCTCAGAAATGTGTTTGAAAAGAAAAGTGAAAGCCCCTCTTATAAGGAAATTTCAGATTTAACTTAAAACTACAAAGGCTTGAGAAAATATATTCAAATTCAAAAAATCATGAAGGGTAAGGATAAGGAAGAGGTTTCTTCAAATAATCCTGGAATAGTAGGACTCTTTAGAAGGGCTTCCCTTAAAGTTTGACATAAATGACTATTTTTTTTCTTCTGTATCTTCCCTACTAGATTTTGAGTTCCTAAAAAGTAGGGACCCTTCTTAATCCATTCTTAGGTCACTTTTTGAAGAAGGTACCTTGTTCCCGCTACACTAGGTGTGATGAATTTTCCTGTAATAGTCCAGAGAGTAAATATTTTAGTCTTTGTAGGCCACATGGTCTCTGTTAGAACTACTCAAATCTGCTATTATAATGTGAAAGCAGCCATCTGTAATATGTAAACAAACAGGTGTGGCTGTGGGCCAATAAAGCTTTATTTACAAAAAAACAAGAGGCAGGCAGGATTTGACCATGGACTTCTACAGACGAGGGGATAAGAACTGTATCAGTTTTACCTACAGTTAAACCCTCAGTATTAGCAAGATTTCCTGCCTAGGCTATGACTTAATACTCAGCACATACTTGTTGAATGTTGAATTCCAGAACTTTAGATAGGGACTTACAGAAACTAGGCCCCTAATATACATTTACAGAATCGAACTTCAATTAAAAGGAAGCACTATTTTACATGATGGTTCAGTCTGAATATTTATGTGATTCATAAAATTTAGATGACTTTCTGGATGGCAGTTCTATATAGATTATTTTAAAACAAGCATGTTTGGGGGCTGTCCTCCTAACTTTTGATAGTCTCATGTCAGGAAGAACAATTTTGCCCTCCTATGAATTAATTGTACCTCGGTGCAGTTGATATATGATTCAACCAATAATAATTGAGCTCTTAGGGATAAATAAGTTTATAGGTAGAACTAGAGCAGGACCTCCAGCATTTGGGGTCAGGTCCTTCAAATTTATTGTTACAAGTTTTAGCTAATGATTTCAAAAGACTGTGTAACTTAAAAAAGTTTTCCACATTTACAGGTTGACAGTACACACACAAGTTCAACAGCAGAGAAACAACTGAACTGTGTACGTACTTGGTAGGGCAAAGTCAGAGTGAGTTATCAGAGAGCTCACATTGTCCACACATCTGTGGGTCCTATCACGAATTATGCAGCTGGGGAATTCAAACTCATTTGTCCCCTGGGCCAATTAGCAACTGAGGCCTCCCCCCAAACAACCCCCAACCCCCCCAATCAAGGCTATGCCCACCAGAGTTACCTTAATGTTTTCTTCTTGAAGTAAGCTATTGTGCTGCTTCAAGTCCAAGTTCTTTCCTCGCTCATATTGGAGCTCTTTTTCGGCTGAGCAGCACAAAACCTGGAGCCGGTGCAAATTCTGGCGAAGCTTTTGTACATCCTCTTGCTGCTGGTATTTCAATTTTTCTTCAGATGATGGAGGCTAAACAAACATTTTAAAAGAGGAACATGGGCAATTTGAAAGAATATTGGTAAAACATGGGTTCCAGCTGTCAGAAGCAGCAATGCCAGAGCGTGAATGTTCTTGGAGTTGACTTACTGACAGCAAATTACTCTTTTTTATATTTATGGCTAGTTGGTACATGTTCATATAACTTAATTCCTACTATTTTGGAGTGAAAATATCAAAGAAATCATTTGAGCAAACCAGTTAAGTATAGACAACTAACTTTCTCACTTTTCATACCAATGAAGGGAAACAGAAGCATGATCATTTTAGGGTAAAACATGCTTTAAATGAGGAGTTCAAAGAGCCAATATGTGAAGAAGGAAAGTATACACTGTATGTGTGTGTGTGTTGGCGGCGGGGGGCGGGGGGGTGTCTGTTGGCAAAAGAGAGAGAGAGAGAGAGAGAGAGAGAGAGAGAGAGAGAGAACATTTAGCAGGAGATCTTAAATTCCCAGTCTTACTCATTGCTTTCCTGTTACTACCAGAAAATTCTTCTTCAGTTACTATTTAACAACCACACACCCTCCTGTCAGGTCTCCAGGTGAATAAAACCACCTTGACCAAAGGAGGAGTCACTGGGTTTTCTAACCAGTAGGCTCACATGGGGGTGCTATGTAGATAAAGAATCTAGGGATCCCTGGGTGGCGCAGCGGTTTAGCACCTGCCTTTGGCCCAGGGCACGATCCTGGAGATCCGGGATCGAAACCCACGTCGGGCTCCCGGTGCATGGGGCCTGCTTCTCCCTCTGCCTATGTCTCTGCCTCTCTCTCTCTGTGTGTGACTATCATAAATAAAAATTAAAAATTAAAAAAAATTCCTATCTTGGTTTAGTCAAAAAGGCAGTCTGAATCCAATTTGCCTGTCCTAGAGCTGCAAGTGTCTTAAGTTCCCTAGAAAAAATTCTTTAACGGAAAATTATTAAAAACCCTAACTCTGGAATTAGTTTCAGTCCTGAATCTATCTTAAAGAAGTTACTTAGTCTTCCTGCTTTTCATTTCCCTCATGTTAAAATGGGGATAATAATGATAACTGCTGGATGGAGTAAAGGGTAAGAAAAGGAAGAAAAGGCATGCAAGCACTTAGCATGATGCTTAGTGCACAATAAGCACTCAGTAACATTACCCATTACTGTGGATGCTACCAAGCTTAATTTTAAGGGCCTTCTGCTTCCATCTGAAAACAAGAATTCTCCTGAAGCCTGGAAACCCTTGATCACCAGTCTAGCTTCTTATCTATCAGATGGCAGTATTTATTTATTTATTTATTTATTTATTTATTTATTTATTTATTGGCAGCTTTTAATAATCAGTTAGTAATCAGCAGCCCGTATGGCCACTTAACATGCCCAAACAGAGATATACAAGAGAAGCACCCCCTTTTATACCAATGTACAAAGTTTTTAGCCTGTTTTGAAGATGAGAAAAACCAGAACAAAAGTTCTTCTTGCCTACATTTTCTAGTCAAGTCACTTTGCCAGAGTAGAAATGCAAACTATTTTTCATGATAGGCAACTAGTAAAGAAGCTACCGGTCAACCAGTCAAGTGACCAACATAAAGTGTATTTTTTCCCTACCATATAAAATGCTTCTTGGAAGAAAATTATTACAGAAGTGTTTGGACTCACTCAGGTAGTAGGAACCATGTAGTAATGCAAAGTAAAGAATATTAAGTGTCCTTTCCTGATCCATCAACAGACTTATTAAGCTAATCATCCTCTCTGAGTCTCAGCTGACTCATCTGCAAATTAAAGGCTTAAGACCAGATGATGTGTATGTAATGGCTCTTCAATTCATAATTCCTTAAGAATTAAAATGAAACAAATTGGAACCAGCATTATCTTAATTTTATATGCTTAAAACCTAGCTTTTAATATTTTCAAATATTATCTTCATAAAATAAAAATTTAACATGAACCAAATCCATATACTGGTCCCAATGACAGAATCATTCCTTTTGTGGAAACAATTAAAGCCTATGAGCCTTAAATATTCTCATCCAGGGCAGCCCCGGTGGCTCAGCGGTTTAGCGCTGCCTTCACCCCAGGGCATGATCCTGGAGACCTGGGATCAAGTCACATGTCAGGCTTCCTGCACGGAGCCTGCTTCTCCCTCTGCCTGTGTCTCTGCCTCTCTCTCTCTCTCTCTCTCTCTCTCTCTCTTTCATGAATAAATAAAATTTAAAAAATATATATTCTCATCCAGTGAATGTGGATGGAACAGGTTATCCAACCTGTAAATATGTCAGTCATTAAATGAAGTCCAATGGTTCTGACTCTCTACTCATCAAACATCCTTCAGATTTTGATTTGTCTTTCCCAGCTCTCTATAGGTAAATGTATTGTTCATTTTAACATGTTCAAGTGCTGTTTATAATTATTACAAAATAATAACTGACATTCTGATTTTACCCAATAGTTTCAAAAGTTTGGTTTAATGTGAGTTTATCCCCAAGACACAGATCTATCTATTCTAAGGGGACTAATGCATCAAGTTTCGGAGCCTGCAAACCTAACAACAGACACCCTGGAAGGGCCTCCGGAAGACAGCTTGCCAGTCCTCAGGAAATTAGCTTTACATGAGAAGTGTATGTTTTCTTTGAATTTTTCAGCAGGGGGAAGCAAATGACACAGCAGCTAAGAGGTCAAGCTCTAGAGTAGATCAACTCAGGTTCCACCACGATATGTCATTCTGGGAAAATGGTTTAACCTAAGGCCTCAGTTTTCCTTATCTGTAAAGTGGCAACAATAATATCCTGCCTCGTTGTGTTGCTTAATATACACAAGGTATTTAGTACAGTCCTGGAACAAAGCAAATATTTAAAAATGTTACAGAAAAACAAGAGGCTAGATTTTTAAACCTATAAAATTAATTATTGGTGATTCCAGTTCGTTTCACAAACGTTGGGGAGGTAATAATCTCGAATTCAGCTATCACAACCTTACCTGGAACACTGTTGAACAGCAGAAATTATGCCACCAAATGCGATCAGCAGCCACAAATGATATCACAAATACGTATGAACAATAGAGCTCACCTACTTACTCATAAAAAAGGCTTTCACAATTCTTTTTCTATGTATTTACTATCTATAAGCATTCTTTAAAGTTTGGTATCTGGTCTCAAGCTACAGTTGCTTAAATGTGTATGTTATAAGATTAAGAAGATGCAGCACACATGGATAAGCAGCTAGGCACTAGACACTAAACCAACAACAGCAGTGAAGACCAAAAATTTACACATACCCAAGAACTAAAAAGTAGAGCAATTTATAGCCACCAGTAGGTCAAAGGACCCTCTGCACAGAAAAAGGTTCTGAAATTATCATTACACAGCACCCTGAAGGAAAAAAAAATCTATCTAAAACATCTTTTCTTCTCTGCTTACTTAAAGACGTAAATGAAATGGTGTGTGCGATACTGCTTTGGGAAATGTAAAGTTCAAAATATAAATATGTTCTTTTTTCTCATGAGGCCTACATCTATCTTGTCTCTTGCCATATGTGCCCTGACACCAGGGCCTGGCATGTTATAAATACTCAATTAATAATGGTCAGATAAACGAGTAAGAGCAACTTACCCTTCTCTCAATAATTCAAAGTCATTATTATGGAACAAAATTAGTGAACTCTGCAAGAATTCAGTGAAACCCTTGAGGCTATGTGGTGTAGAGAACCATCTGCCCTTTCACAAAGTGGCTCTTCTCCCAGATGTCCCACATAATTTATATATATTTAATAGTTTTTTACCTCTCTCCTGGGTATAGGGAGATGATTCTTCAAATAATGAGAAAGGACACATTAAATAAAATTAACAAATGAACTGGGGTGCTACTTCTCATACTTTCCAACTCATTGTTTTTTAAGTGCATTAATCATTTTAAGCTTATAAACAAAGATTTTATAATCTTTGTGACCACAGTGCTCAGCCTCTTCCCAAGCCTCCTATGCTGTTGTTCCCTGCCCAACAAAGGGAACGAACTTCTTGGGGGATTTAAAATTAACCTCTTTTTGAACATTTGGTGTTATGCTCCCCTTTGGTCTTCTGAACGGATGTGATGGCTCCCTTCTCTTCCAAATGTATCTGAATCTCCTTTTAGGTATCTATTTTCCTTCTTTATTGTGACTTGCCTCAGTTTTCAGACTCTATATTTGAATCTCTTCTCAAATATATTTTTGACTTCCTTGGCTATTACTCTGCCTTTTTTCCCCTAAATATATACTTGAAGCCATTTTAAAACGCATATTATTAGTCATTTCAAGTTGCTTTACATATGTGCACAAAGGCCTCCTCTGTGGATCTCAGAATAATTCCTAGATAGGTACATATGGGGGAATTTATTTATTTATTTATTTATTTATTTATTTATTTATTTATTTACTCATGAAAGACACAGAGAGAGGCAGAGAGAGATACAGAGACAGGAGAAGCAGGCTCCATGCAAGGAGCCTGATACGGGACTTGATCCCAGGACTCTGGGATCACACCCTGAGCCAAAGGCAGATGCACTGAGCCACCCAGGCATCCTGGGAAGTCTTAATTTGTACAGGAGGGAACCTGAAAAATTGAGGTATAAAAGCTGAGGTGTGGTTGGCAGGAACTCCCTTGATTTCTCCAGCGGGCAGATCTTGTGTAAATAGCAAAAGCCAAATTTAAAACAATTCCAAATCTATGGTCTTTTCCCCACCCAAACTATTTTGTACATCTAAGCCAGGCACTATGAATAGAAAATATGACCCAGATCCTGCCCCTCCCTATCTTGCCTCCCCGGGGAGCACACACTGGCAACCAATCAGTATTTCTTTCTGCTGAGCCTAAATGAAGCCTTAAGAACCCTTTATAACAAAGTGGATCAGCTGATGGGCTTAGTTCTGATCCTGATTGCCATTTTATGACCATTCAGGCCATGGCGATGATCTTGCTTAATAACATAGATTAATGTTGATATAAAGATGGTGCTCACATTCACAGCTGGCCAG